AGTCTAAAGAATCAGTACTAACTAGCCCCGCCATGAAAAAAGCAGCCTAAATTAGGTGAGCTAGCGAGCATGCCAGCTTAATTAATCAGTTCGCGGATACAAAATTATTTGCCGCATTCAAGGTTACTGCTTTTGAAGTTTGTGTATACTATAAAAATGAATGGATGCACTATGATCTTGTGCAGAAGAGACAGTTCAGTCATAATGTGGCCAAGTTCAAATTTGTTTCCCTCGACATATTTTTGTGTTGGGCCTTGCAATTGGCCAATATATAAGATGCAGGTCTGACCATTTGTACTGTTCATATCCTGGTCTACAGTTATGATGTTGAGTTATGGTCATTCTTTTTGGTACATGGAGCGAGTCGAATATTCTGATTCCGTTTTTTGTATTTTCTTAACCGGTTGCAGAGGGAAGGATGGTACTGGTGAGGAAGTAGTCAAGCCTTTTACTCCGACTAAAATGGATTTTGATATTGGATACTTTGAGCTTGTTTTAAAGGTAATTTATTATAAACATGTTCCAACCCACTGAATATCTCTTATCATTGATTCTGATGGTAAAAAGACTATGTGGCCAGTTGACTAGAATAATTAGCTTCATTGTACACCATAGTATTAATTCACTTCCAAAGATATGCTGAACAAAATAAGCCTTGATGAATTTCTGAAACTCTGAAGCTCTTACCTTGAGGGGAATATGTGAGCATGGAAATTCTTTTACTTCCGGTGCATGATTGAGACCAGTTGTTAATTTGTATGTGATATGCAGGAATAGATGGCCGATGTAAGTGCTGACTGTTTGGATGTGTACGTAAACATTGTCAGCAGGATGTTTCATAGCGAGGATGAAGGTTTTGAGTTCTATAACAAGTATGCTCTTGAGAAAGGCTTTAGTGTGAGAAAAGGCTATGTTGAGTGAGATGAAGCGAACGAGAAGATAATTCTGAGGAAATTTGTCTGTAGTCGTGAAGGTTGTCGTGAAGAGAAGCACATGAAGAGGAAGAGAGAAGATAGGAAGAGGAAGCCATGGAATATCACTCGTGTCGGGTGTAAAGCGAATTTGTCATTGCAAGAGTCGCCAAAACAGAGCGGTGGTTTGTGAAGGATTTCATCGATGAACACAACCATCCTCTGGCCCCATGAGACCTTGCTTGCTTTTTGCGTTCCCACAGAAGAATCAGCGACGAGCAGAAAGCGGACATTATAGAGATGGAAAGTATTGGAATCCAGAAACACAAAATCATGGATGTGTTGTGCATGCAGTACGGTGGATATGACCAGGTTGGATGCACGACGAGGGACATCTATAACTTCTGCCATCGCCACAAGCAGGAAACAGTCGCTGCTGGTGATGCTCAGACGGTGATCCGTCACATGATGGCGCGGCAAGTGAGAGACCCAGATTATTTCTTCAAATACTTGGTTGATAAAGATGGGCATCTGAAGGGATTGTTCTGGTCCGATACTCAATCTCGCCTTGACTATGAGGCTTTCGGCGATGTTGTGGTTTTTGATAGCACATACAGGACCAATCAGTACAATTTGCCATTTGTGCCGTTTGTCGGGTTGAATCACCACCACATCACAGTTATCTTTGGATGCGGGATCATTTCTCATGAAACTAACGAGGCGTATGAGTGGATGTTGCGGATATTTTCTGAATCCATGGCACAGAAGCATCCGATATCTGTAATCACTGACGGAGACCTTGCAATGCAGAGAGCGATCAGGGTGGTGTGGCCTGACTCATACCATAGGCTGTGTGTATGGCACATTCAACAGAACATCGTACGCCATCTGCATGATGACGAGGTTAGGGAAGAATTTAGATCTTTCATATATGACTCGTCTTGTATTGAAGAGCATGAGAGAAAATGGATAGAGTTCTTACAAAGGAATGAAGTGACAAGTGAGGAGTCGTGGTTGCATCAGATGTATCAGATGAGGAAGTTGTGGTGTGCTCCATACCTGGTGGGGCGCTGTTTCTTAGGATTGAGAAGCAATCAGTGGAGTGAGAGCCTAAACTCCGTGCTACATACACATCTTGAGGGTAAGATGACATTGTTTGATATGCTAGAGCACTATGAGCATTGCCTTTCGGGACGACGCTTGAATGAGGCGATCCTAGACATCGTGGCCTTGCAGTCCGTTCCATTTACAGACGCGGATGCTTCAAGTCTTGAGAAACATGCTGCCCGAGTTTTCACTCCTTGTATGTTTGAGTTTGTCAGATGGAGCATAAATGCCGTCAGCAAATATGTTATCAGCGAGATACTAGATGCATGGGAGTTGACTACATATGTTGTGGCTAAGATTGATAGAAGAGAGAAGAAGTTCGAAGTGCGTTGTGAGCTGAAGGAAGGTTCTCTGTATAGGATCAGTTGCTCTTGTCGTAAGCTGGAGTGCTTGGGAACACCATGCTCTCACATATTCTACATCTTGGGAATACGTCAAGTGGAACTGCTGCCTAGGTGTTGTGTTCCCATGAGGTGGACGATGAGTGCAAAGTCTGCAGTCCCTCCTACCAGAAAGAGCAAGATGTATGACTATTCAGAAAGCCTTGTGAGGTACCGTGAGTTGCGGAATTTGAGTCACGCGGCATGTTTTCGGGCATGTCAATCCAGTGAGGAGTATCAGCGTCTGAAGATGGTTCTGAATGGACAAGATGGCAGCAAGGAATCAAGTCGTGGTCAGGAGGAATGCATTAGGTTTGGTCCGGTGCTGCCACAGACGACGGAAATTGATTGTGGAGATTTGGAAAAGGTTCTGGACCCAATGCATGTGCAAGGTCGAGGTGCACCAAAGAAAAGGTTGCAGGCAAAGATGAAGAAGCAAAGATCAAAGAGGAAATGTGGCTACTGTGGGGTGACAGGTCATGATTGGCGTAATTGCACTAAACTGCAAGAGGTGTCAAATATGTCCATTTTTAATTTTTGCATCTGCTTTACTCATTAATATAGTGCACTAATTATATTTGGTGCTCTGTAGGAAATGATGGCAGCAAACTGTTAGCTACAACTATCTCTGCAAGGGGTTTCATGGTAGGAAACTGTTGCCCTTGTGGTCCATTTTTCAAGTATTAATTTCTGCAAGTATTTCATTTTCCACGATCTTGCCGATCCGTCCCCTGCGATGCCTCAACCTCCTCGTAGCCCTGCACATGTAAGCAACAGAGTGCATTTTTGTGATTGTTTTCCTTCTTCAGTTGATAATTTTGAAGCACCTGAATGAGTCTTTTTTCTTTGTTGGTCGTCAGTATACTATAGCATGTTCAGTACGAGAACATATCCAGTGCTATGGTTGAACTCGTGCTACGAATGCTCCGAGCGATTCTGAGCCACTGGATGAAAAGCTGATGGACATGATGTTATCATTAGGTGGTCGCCTGTACATTTTACAAAAAGGACCTTGTAAAACCATTTTAGGTGGCCGCCTGGAGTAGATTATATTTGTTGTGTTTTTCTGCTGGTTCACTTTGTTGGTCTCAAAATGAAACTCCACTTTTGATGCCCAACTGAAATTTCTGAAAGCATTACTAGTCATTATCTTGTTCATGATTTATTTTCTTGTTGCAAATCCACACTCTAGCCATGATCTAGCATGCAAATCTTAAGTAGTATCGTTCACAAGGCCTTTAGCATAAATTAAACTTTATCCAACTAGATAATTTTGTTGACCTTTTGTCTTGGATATGCACCTGAAAATAGTTGATGTTCCTATTTTTTCAGGTATTCTTGTCTGCATGTTCAGCTGCAAGCTCATCTGTAGAGAAAATAAATTGTTGTACAAGCTAGTGTTGAAGTTGCATCCACTTTTGCCTTGTTCTGCAGCCCAAGGTATCTTCAGATGATGATTGGAGCTGGATGGCGCTCAAGCTATTGCGTAAGCTAGGATCTACTGGAATTTGAAAGTTCTGTGTTGTAATGCATCTCTTCTAGTAAAGCGGTTGATTTATGTTTGGACATAAAAAAGTGAGATACAAGAGTTGTAGAACAAAGCTATCCTTATAAAATACTCTGTCCGTCCCATAATGTAAGACGTTTTTTGACACTACAGTAGAGTCAAAAAACGTCTTACATTATGGGACAGAGGGAGTATATTATATCAGATGTATGTACACAATGTTTGAGTCAGCCTGTGCATGTGACAGTGGTGAACAGAAATTTATATATGATCCTATCAAATTTTATGGAGTTTTTACAGTACATATCCTAATTTGATAATCAGCCTAACTACTTTAGTACAACTTCTGCAAGACAATTGTAGCCTATACACTAATTTAACTCGAAACCGCACTTCGTTTGGTTGGCGCAGATGTGTTCCCGTTTTCCAATCAACTCCGATCTGGGCGTCTTCAGTTTCGTTAAGTCCTGTATCGGAAACCATGGCTATGAAAGACATTGCGAGCGAAACAAATACAACCTTACGGTTTTGGAATGCATTGGAGTGGCTTTTCTGCTAACCAAGCGTTGTTACTACATCTTAAAGCCTTAATGCAAGTTGTCCAGACAATATGACACTTGATATCTACTCCCTCTGTAAACTAATATAAGAGTGTTTAGATCACTAAAATAGCAATCTAAACGCTCTTATAATGTTTACGGAGGGAGTAATTATTAACACTGCCATACAAAAGCATTTCTTAATTCTGTCATATAAATGTGCAGACCATGGAAATATCTTTCCTTTACACAGAATAGCCGTATCACAGATTCTTTGGTTCTCAATAAGCTAAAGCATCGGAAATAACCAAACTGTTGCGTGAAATAACACTGGTTTGGACTAGTGCAGCATATGCAATAAAAAAATAGTAAAAGCCACAATTTAGTATGTGGCATCTAAAAATTGAGCAACAACTCAAAGTTGAAAGCCTATTATTGTAAACATAGTCTCACAATTGTCACTTGAATGAAGTGATTGTTGGATGGAAAATGATATAAACACTACTTCGGACAATAATTCAGCTCCAAAACTTGAAATTGTAGAAAAAACAAAAGCCTACTGAAGAGGCTCGTCACTGCTGCCGAAATCCAATGCTTTCTTCGAATTGTTATCTGCAAGTTTCTTCCTTTTGGGCGATGACCCATATTCGCCCATGTCCCTCTTGCCGATATCCTTGTACCCACACGAATATATGTCTTCCTCACACATGTCCTGTCCAAAAGCATACCAAAGGTATTTAGATTAACATGCAAATGATGTGGCCATTTTTTGTATAATAAGTGAACTTGGCAATATAACCAACCTGTTCAGACATGTCATCGTCACTATCATATGAGACTTGTGCATCATCTGAGGTTGCACAATTCTTGACAATGTACAAATGACATTTCTTTAGCCCTTCTAAAGCATGCAACATTTCATCTACATCATGTTGGCCTGAAATCTGTACCATTCCTTCTGGTGGTACACACCCAGGCTTGATGTAGTACAAATCTGCTTTCCCTTTGTACCCTTGGCAACGCAAATTTTTCTCCATTAGCTGCCAGTCCACCTTGCCGGGTTCAACTATTGTCGTCATACCAGGTCTCCCGTTGTGGTACGCGTGAGGAACATGAGAAAGTTCATAGTCCACATGAACAATAAATTGCATTACGACTACCTACATATGACTAGTTGACATCAGTTTTTGCACAATATCATATTGTTCATACATAGGATGTGCGTACCATTGGTAAAACATACTTACTGGGCCACGTGGTGTTGAGACAGATTGTTCGGTGGTGGGATGTCATGTTTTGCCTGCGGAGGTGGTGACGAGACAGATTGCTCCGGTGTACGGATGTCTCGTTGTGCCTGTGGAGGTGGTGATGAGACAGATTGCTCCGGTGTACGGATGTCTCGTTGTGCCTGTCGAGATGCTGATGAGATAGATTCCTTCGGTCTAGGGATGTCTCGTTGTGCCTGTAGAGGTGCTGATGAGACAGATTGCTCCTGCAGATAATTTAATGAATAATAGGTACATAATGAAACGTACCTTCGTGCCTGTACTAGCAAGGTCTTGCATCATACTCCCATCCATGAGGATGTCCTCCATCTTCGCCTTGTAATCTAGATCACTACGGTCTTGTTGTAACTTTCGCTCCATATCCGCACGAGCTTGCATTGTATTGACGTCCATCTTACCACGCTTGAGCTGTACAATGCGGTCCTGCATCATATTCCCTTCCAAGCGGATCTGATCCATCTTGGCCTTGTGATCCATGTCCTTACGCTCTTGCCGCAAGATAAGATCCCTGTTCGCATGCGCCTGCATGATATTGAATTCCATCTTGCCACGCTCGAGCTGTATAGTGCGGTCCAGGTCCTTCCGCTCCTTCTTCAACTTTAGGTCCATATCATCATGGAAATGCTTCAACCTCTGATCCACGGCTGCACGCTCCGCCGTCATCATCTGTTCCATGGCTGCATGCTCCTCCTTCCTCATGCGGTCCACAGTTGCACGCTCCAGTTTCAGATTGTTGTCCATCACCTCTCGCTCTCGCTGCATATTCTTGTCCGTCTCTTGACGCATTTGATGCACGTACTTGTCATCATCCATGGTCCCTATAGTAGCCTGACATAACAATGCTAGTTACAATATGTATGGAAATTGGAATACCTATTAATTAAATCCAATTACTAACTCCCATACTGCTATGTGCCACTAGACGTACGAGCATGCAATTTAGAGAAAGTAGTAGATTTCTAATTTATAGTTCAGTGCATGCTATGTGCCACTAGAAGGATCCGAAGATCGCCGCCACAGTACCATCCGCGTCCACCGTATTAATTGAATCGCATTACTACTAAGAGGGAAGGAAACATCATAGTTGTACATACGGTTTGGTTGTGGGGCACCGGTCGCCAGACACGGAGGAGAGGACGTCGCCGGCCGACGAGGAGGAGAGGACGTCACTGGACGTGGAGGAGAGGGCGCCGCCGCCTGATGAACTGCTCCCGATGGGATTTGCCTCTATGGCTAGGTTTACGTACGTGTGAACGTGGCTGGTAAGTACTATATGGGCAATTATATTACGTATCTGAATTGGGCTCGTAAGTACTATATGGGCTTTTGTGCTCACGTGGATCAAATATCATACGTGCATGTGCTCTTGATTCAGAAGAAATCAATTAAGCAGGGATGACATGGGCAAGTATCTTGGTGCATCAGCAGTAAGACACACAGGTATTAACGATCTAGCTACACTCGAAGCCTTGGCGTGCAGAGAAGCTCTTTCCCTTGCCCTCGACCTCTCACTATCTCATGTGTTGGTAGCCTCAGATTGCAAGGAGGTTGTCGCGGACATACACAAGGGCACGGGCGGCCTTTACGCGAGCATTGTTAAAGAGATCATCTCCCAAGGTTTGCAGTTTCCAGCATGCTCCTTCATCTTCGAAGGGCGCGAGACAAACTTTGAGGTGCACAGCCTCGCCAAACACACTTTGGGACTCTCTCCGGGACGCCATCTCTGGCTACTTAATACCCCGGATTTATCTTGTATTCCTATGTATTTGGATATTGATCAATAAATGAGAGTGTGTATGGACTAAAAAAAGAGGAAATCAATTAAGCAGCCTGCTTGCACTAGTAGAAAACAGGGCTTTCGTCCAGGCCAGTTTAGCCCATTAGTCCCGGTTGAATCCAGAACCGGGACCAATGGAGCTATTTGCCCCAGTTCGTGAGCCCAGGGGGCCGGCCGGGCCATGTGGGCCATTGGTCCCGGTTCGTCCGGACCTTTTGGTCCCGGTTGGTGGGACGAACCGGGACCAATGGTCCTGGCTCCTGGCCCACCACTATTGGTCCCGGTTGGTGGCATGAACCGGGACCAAAGGGTTACCTTTAGTCCCGGTTCATGCCTCCAACCGGGACTAAAGGGTTGGCCCTCGTTGCACCCAGCTTTTAGTCAAACCTCGCCAACAGAAGGGCGCCCAGACCTGTTTATAAGCCCGTCCCTCTCTGTGTTGTTGATCTCCTCTCAAAGTGAAAATAGATGCACTTATAGAGGAAATTGGACCTAAATTTATAAATAGAAATTGATTATGAATTTATGTTTAATTTTCTCTATAAGTGCATCTATGTTCACTAACAGAGAAGTTTTTATTTTTTGTGACCTAAAAGAAAAAAGAAATCACCAAAAAACTGTAAGTATTTATTTCTAAGTAGAACTGAAAAAATAATGGCACTAGTAAAGTTAATCGCAAACTTCAAATTCACACAAATTTCAAAGAATTCAATTTAACTATTCACACAAATTTCAAAGAATTAAAAAATAAAGCAAAAAACCAAAAGAAAATAATTAATGCAGAAAACAAAACAAAAAAACTGGAAAAAACTAAAAATAGCAACAATAAGTATTTTATTGTAAGTAGAAACAAAATAAAATGAATAAAGCAACAAAGAAAACAAAAAAAGAGTTTCCAAATTTGAAAACTAATGGCACTAACAGAAAGTTTATACTTTTTCTAAAACTAAAAGCAAAAAGAATTAAAAAATAAAGCAAAAAACAAAAGAAAATAAATAATGCAGAAAACAGAACAAAAAACTGAAAAGAATAAAAATAGCAACAATAAGTATTTTGTTGTAAGTAGAAACAAAATAAAATAAATAAAGCAACAAAGGAAACAAAAAAAGAGTTTTCAGATTTGAAAACTAATGGCACTAACAGAAAGTTTATAATTTTTCTAAAACTAAAAGCAAAAAGAATTAAAAAAATAAAGAGAAAAACAACAAAAACTAAATAATGTAGAAAACAGAACAAAAAACTGAAAAAAAATAAAAATAGCAACAATAAGTATTTTGTTGTAAGTAGAAACAAAATAAAATAAATAAAGCAACAAAGAAAACAAAAAAAAGAGTTTTCAGATTTGAAAACTAATGGCACTAACAGAAAGTTTATAATTTTTCTAAAACTAAAAGCAAAAAGAATTAAAAAATAAAGCAAAAAACCAAAAGAAAAATAAACCAAAACCAAAATAAACTAAATAAAGCAACAAATAAAACAAAAAAAAATGCCACCTACTGGGCGCCCACGGCCTGATTACGACTACAAACCCTATGGGCCAGGATTCAGGCCCGTGGAAGGCCCAGTAGGCCCACAGGCACAGATGGCAGAGTTAGGCCCGAAAGCCTGCTTTAGAGAGGAGCTCGAGAGGGGAGCCGCACCGCACCTTATAAACTGGTGCGGCTCCCTCTCAACTAGCGAGGTGGGACTAAACATTTGGCGCGGGGCAGCACAAGGCCTTTGGTTCCGGTTGGTGGAACCAACCGGGACTAAAGGGGGCCTTTGGTCCCACCATCTTTCAGTCTCCCACTTGCACTAGAGTCAATAATCTAGTTCACGTCACCATGTGATTTAACACTAATAGTTTACATCTTTATGTGATTAGTTCACATCTTCATGTGACCAACACCCAAAGGGTTTACTAGATTCAGTAATCTAGTTCACATCGCTATGCGATTAACACCCAAAGAGTACTAAGGTGTGATCATGTTTTGCTTGTGAGAGAAGTTTAGTCTACGGTTCTGCCACATTTAGATCCGTATGTATTTTGCAAATTTCTATGTCAACAATGCTCTGCACAGAGCTACTCTAGCTAATTGCTCCCACTTTTAATATGTATCCAGATTGAGACTTAGACTCATCTGGATTAGTGTCAAAACTTGCATCGACGTAACCCTTTACGACAAACCTTTTTGTCACCTCCATAATCGAGAAACATATCCTTATTCCACTAAGGATAATTTTGACCGCTGTCCAGTGATCTACTCCTAGATCACTATTGTACTACCTTGCCAAAATCACTGTAGGGTATACAATAGATCTGGTACATAGCATGGCATACTTTATAGAACCTATGGCTGAGGCATAGGGAATGACTTTCATTCTCTTTCTATCTTCTGTCGTGGTCGGGTTTTGAGTCTTACTCAATTTCACACCTTGTAAGACAGACAAGAACTCTTTCTTTGACTGTTCTATTTTGAACTACTTCAAAATCTTGTCAAGATATGTACTCATTGAAAAAAACTTATCAAGCGTCTTGATCTATCTTTATAGATCTTGATGTTCAATATGTCAGCAGCTTCACCGAGGTCTTTCTTTGGAAAATTCCTTTCAAACACTCCTTTATGCTTTGCAGAATAATTCTACATTATTTCCGATCAACAATATGTCATTCACATATACTTATCAGAAATATTGTAGTGCTCCCACTCACTTTCTTGTAAATACAGGCTTCATCGCAAGTCTGTATAAAACTATATGCTTTGATCAACTTATCAAAGCGTATATTCCAACTCCGAGATGCTTGCACCAGTCCATAGATGGATCGCTGGAGCTTGCATATTTTGTTAGCACCTTTAGGATTGACAAAACCTTCTAGTTGTATCATATACAACTCTTCTTTAATAAATCTATTAAGGAATGCAGTTTTGTTTATCCATTTGCCAGATTTCATAAAATGCGGCAATTGCTAACATGATTCGGACAGACTTAAGCATAGATACGAGTGAGAAACTCTCATCGTAGTCAACACCTTGAACTTGTCGAAAACTTTTTGCGACAATTCTAGCTTTGTAGATAGTAACACTACTATCAGCGTCCGTCTTCCTCTTGAAGATCCATTTATTCTCAATTGCTTGCCGATCATCGGGCAAGTCAACCAAAGTCCATACTTTGTTCTTATACATGGATCCCATCTCAGATTTCATGGCCTCAAGCCATTTTGTGGAATCTGGGCTCGCCATCGCTTCTTCATAGTTCGCAAGTTCATCATGGTCTAGTAACATGACTTCCAGAATAGGATTTCCGTACCACTCTGGTGCGGAGCTCACTCTGGTTTACCTACGAGATTCGGTAGTAACTTGATCTGAAGTTACATGATCATCATCATTAGCTTCCTCACTAATTGGTGTAGTAGTCACAGGAACAGATTTCTGTAATGAACTACTTTCCAATAAGGGAGCAGGTACAGTTACCTCATTAAGTTCTACTTTCCTCCCACTCACTTCTTTCGAGAGAAACTCCTTCTCTAGAAAAACTCCGAATTTAGCAACAAATGTCTTGCCTTCGGATTTGTGATAGAAGTAGTACCCAACAGTCTCCTTTGGGTATCCTATGAAGACATACTTCTCCGATTTGGGTTTGAGCTTATCAGGTTGAAACTTTTTCGCATAAGCATTGCAACCTCAAACTTTAAGAAACGACAACTTTGGTTTCTTGCCAAACCACAGTTCATACGCTGTCATCTCAACAGATTTAGATGGTGCCCTTTTAACGTGAATGCAGCTGTCTCTAATGCATAACCCCAAAACGATAGTGGTAGATCGGTAAGAGACATCATAGATTGCACTATATCCAATAAAGTACGGTTATGACGTTCGGACACACCATTATGCTGTGGTGTTCCATGTGGCATGAGTTTGTGAAACTATTCCACATTGTTTTAATTGAAGACCAAACTCGTAACTTAAATATTTGTCTCCGCGATCAGATCGTAGAAACTTTATTTTCTTGTCACGATGATTTTCCACTTCACTCTGAAATTCTTTGAACTTTTCAA